ATCGACCCAGGTTTGAGATTAAAGGTAATTAATTTGCTTCGAGAATATAAATATTGTTTTGCTTGGGATTATAATGAAATGAAAGGTTTAAGCATGGATTTGGTTGAGCTAAAGCTGCTAAAAAAGCTTGGGAAAAAGCAGGTCAGGGAAATGCCAAGACAGGTTGCACAAGAGGTTATGTCAAAAATAAAAGAGGAGATTGAAAGACTCCTAAAAATAAAGTTCATAAGAACATCAAGGTATGTTGAGTGGCTTTCAAACATTTTTTTGGTAATTAAGAAGAACGAAACATTTAGGGTTTGCATATATTTCAGGGATCTAAGTGCTACAATCCTGAAGGACGAATACCTAATGCCTGTCGCCGAAATGTTGGTCGACTCAACAACATGTTTCAATTATCTTTGTATGCTTGATGATTATTCTGGTTATAATCAAATATTTATTATAGATGAATATATGCCAAAAACAGAATTTCGATGTTCCGGAGCCTTAGGCACTTATGAATGGGTGTTTATGCCATTTGACTTTAAGAATGTCAAGGCAACCTACCAAATGGTGATGAATTCGATTTTCTATGATTATATAGAAACTTTAATGCAAATATATATATTAATGATATAGTCATTAAGTCTGCAACGGGAAATGGTCATCTTGATCATCTTTGTCAATCATTAAAAAGAATGAGGAAGTACATACTGAAAATGAACCCTCTTAAGTGTGCTTTCTATGTGCAGGTGGGAGATTTCCTCGACTTTGTCACCAACAAAAAGGCCATCGAGATAAACCAAAATAAGACCAAATCCATCATGGAGACTCGACCTCCTTCGACCAAGAAAGAGCTCCATTCTTTATTTGGGGAATATAAATTTTTTGAAGAGGTTTATTTCGAACCTTAGTGGCAAAGCTTGAGCGCTCTCGTCATTGCTTCGCCTGAAAAAAGGAAAAGTTTAAGTGGAAACAATAGCATCAAAAGGTCTTTGATGAAATAAAGGACTACCCGATGCACCCTTCGATATTGTCTCCTCCTGTTAGGAATAAGTGCTTGAGGTTGTATATTTTTGCTTCAGACTCGACCATATGAAGCATGTAGCACAAGAGAATGATAATGTCATCGAAAGGGTCGTTTATTACCTTAGTCGAGTCTTGAATGACGTAGAAAATATGTATAATCTAATAGAAAAGATGTGCCTTTGTTTGTGTTTATCATGTATGAAGTTAAATCATTATATAAAACCCGTTGATGTTTATGTCTCTTCGCATTTTGATATCATTAAGCATATGTAATCTAAGCCAATTATGCATAGTCGAATTGGAAAATTGAATATTGCCTTGACTGATTACTCCCTGACATATGTACCTCTAAAGGATGAAGGGGAAGGTGGTCCCCGACTACATCATAGATCATGCGATAGTTGAGGTGTCCCAAAATTATTTGGAGCCAGAATCTTGGAAGTTCTACTTCGACGGTTCTAGCCATAAAAATGGAATTGACATTGGAATTTTAATAATTTATCCTAATAAGATTCTGAAGAAGTTTAAATACAAAATTAAAGGCCTTTGCTTGAATAACGAGGCCGAGTATGAAGCTTTGATAGCTGGTCTTGAAATCTTGTTAGATTTGGGGGGCAAGAAGAGTCAAAATAAGAGGAGACTTTGAGTTGGTTGTTATGCAGATAACAAAAGAATACATGTGTATTAATGAGAATTTGATAATCTAACTAATTAGGCATCTAGGTTATGTGGATATTCAACATGTCTCTCGATTTGAGAATTAATAAGCCAATGTGGTGGCTCAAATTGCATCAGGATATAAAATATCAAAGGTAAAGTTGGAAGATTTAATTGAGGTTCAAGGAAGAGTGAAATCGACTAGGTAATCTCCTTCATATTTGTCGATGAACAATTTAGGGTCATCTAATCTTGAAAACTTTGAGATCCTTGCCATTGATAATTTGATAGATAATGATTGGCGAAGACCAATAGTTGGATATTTAGAAAATCCAACAGGATCGATTGATCAAAAGGTTAAATATAGGTAACTAAGTTATTGTATCATAGAGAAATAATTGTTCAAGAAGAAACTTGAAGGTATCTTTCTTAAATGTCTTAGCGAAAGCGAGGCATATTTAGTAGTGTTGAATGTCCATAGTGGAGCTTGTGGTGTCTATCAAGTCGGACATAAAATGAAGTGGTTATTATTTTGACAAGGTGTTTATTGGCCTACAATTTTAAAGGATTATATTGAATTCGCCAATGGATGTAAAGAGTGTCAAATATGTTGAATAAGATTTCTTTCTGCATCTGGCCTTTAGTTTGGATGATAACAATACATAGTTCTTAGAGAACAATTTTGTACACTAATGGTTTTTGCCTAGTGTGTGAATTTTTCTAAATAGGTTCTGACTCAGAAGCTTTGACGTGTGACGTCATCATACTCTGGAATCAACCAACTCTGACTCTAAAGAGATACAAGTGCTTTACAAGATACTGTCAAGTTTTAGAAATCTCTTAGACAATGGTTCTGAAGAACATTTATGCTAAAGCTTCTGACTGTGACTCTTATTAAGGAGCCTCTAAAGGATTGTTTGCCTTCAAGACTTTACCCTCAAGTTCTGAAGATTCTGAAGAATAAAATTTGAATACTCTGAAGACCAGGTTTTAAGGAATTGTGTCAAGACTCTGAAGACCGAGGTTTTAAAGATTCTCTCAACTAGTCTCTTGATCTTTCTAAGCATGCTTCAACATCATTTCAAATGGAAATGAACTATGTGAGATATGTTATGACCGTTTAAGGTTTAAATTATTCTGGAGATATATTAGATTGGAAAGGAAAGAACTTGTCTATTGGTAGGAGGGTGGTTTTAATCAATTTAGTTCTTAATGTGTTGCCTATTTATACTCTATATTTTTATAAATCTCCTGCATGTGTTTTTAAGATTCTTCAAATCATTCAAAGCAAGTCTCGTTTTTTAACAGGTCTCTATTATTAAAGTGGAAGTGGAGGTGTTTGAATCCAAAAGGGGTGATATGGAGGGGCATCATTGAACACAGATATGAGAAAAATGGTTTAGGTTTGGCCATCACGGGATATGACGGAAATAACGGTAAGAAATCTGATTCTATCTGGTGGCGATATCTTATGGCCCTGAGCTACGACAACATCTCTGCTTCTGATTTGTTTGTAGACAGGCTAAAGTGTTCATAGGTAACAGGAAGAATGAGGGCTTTTGGCACTGCAAATGGATCCTCGGTGAACCTCTTAAGGTTACTTTCCCTAATTTAATTCTTCACTATACCAGTCCTAACAATTTAGTTGCAGATGCGGGTGTTTGGATTGGTGTGGATTGAGAGTGGAAGGTTAGTTTTCGTGACTTCCCTAACGGATCAGTTATGGAAAGGGAGAAGGAGGATTTATGGGATACTCTGCAGATTATGAGGCTGCAGATAGAAGTTGATGATAACTTCATATGAGAGTCTCAGAATAGTCCATCTTTCTCGGTTTCTTCTTGTTATGATTTATTGTTTCAGGATCCGGTGATGTACGACATGTCTGAAGATATTCTTGAAGGGTACAAGGTTGTTTGGAAGGTGAAAATTTCGTTTAAGATCCATGTATTCATGTGGAGGTTGTTCAGAGACCGTATACCGACTAAGGATTACCTGGCTAAATTGAATATTAGGATTAGAGGGGCGTCTTCGTTGTGCCTCGCTTGTGGTTGAGATGACGAGAACATTTCTCGCGTATTCTTGGTTCGTGATTATGCAGGAAAAATGTGGAAGGGGGTATGCAATTAGTTTGGAATTCAAGTTAATCTAGGTGATACTTGTTTAGAATCCTTTACTCATTTCATATTTGCATCTAAAAAAGCTATAAGTAACTCTTTGGGTTTATTGTGTGGACTGCTACTGTGTGGTTTTTTTTGGAATTGCGGGAATAACCTTTCATTTAAGGATAAGTTAAAGTCGGTTAACGAATCAAAATTTTCTCTTGGAGGTGGTTATTGGTAGGAAATGATTATCATAGCTGTTTGTTTTATGATTGACAAGTTGCGCCTCTTAATTGTATTAAGTGATTGTAACAGTCTTGTTTTGGTTTAGTGGGTTTGAGCACCCATTGTACCAATATTAATTCATTGCCTATTAAAAAAAAAAAGGAAAAATACTCTTTTTGGTCTCTTAATATACCATTGGGTTTAGACTGATCCCTTAATTATTTTTTTGTGTCAGATTGGTCACTTAAGTCTTTAAAATGTGTCATGTTGGTCATTTTTGTCCAATTAGCGATAGATTTTTTATTTTTTCCGTCGCTAATTTGATAAAAAAGAATTAACATGACACGTTTTAAAGAGTTAAACCAATCTGATACGAAAAATAATTAAGGGACCAATTTGAACTTACGGGTATAGTTAAGAGACCAAAAATGATATTTTACCTTAAAAAATATAAAATTTTTGAAGATATATCTCCGGAACATTATTAAGCAATATGGTGCGTCCGAATATATATCTCTGAAATCCGAAAGAATTTGTGAAAATTCACACGGTACAAAAAAAATTCTTTAGGTGGAATAAGAAATTCTGTACTATTAAATATATCATACAAGTACGCTACTTCAAAACACTTTAGTATCCATTGTTTCAGTGATGAAAAATAAAGAAACGTTAGATTATTCTATGAAATCCTCTTGAATATTCTTGTTTGAGATGATGTTAGGCCCCATGTGAAAAGCAGGTATTATTAGCTTTTTCATAACCTTCAATTATTGTATCACAGTAATCTTTTCCCTTTCCTTTAAAAAAAGTGGTAGCATAATGTACTTTAGTGCAACATTTTGTAGTGGAAAAATTATTGAAGATAGAGTTGATTTGATATTGATCGTGTGAAACACCATCTCTAATGAGGGCCTAAATCACTTGTATCAAGTTTCCTATCCAAAGCTGAAATGATTCTCCTACATGTTTGGTGAGTATAACTTTATCTTCATTTTTGAAACAATATTGATGATGATAAGGTTTGAAACAAAGAAACAAGTTGTATTGATATTATGGGCATGGTGGTGGAGTACTAGTATTTGTGTTAAAGCAGGAAATGATAGTTTGAAGGCAGGTGAAAGATTGGATGCTAACTCCAGTCTATGTTCTAAGCAAAGCAGGTATTGTCTATTATTCCAAGACATAGTAAATAGCGAAGATAATTATAATTACTTGGTTATAGTAAGTAAGAAAAATTTTAGTGATCGAGGATCAGTAATTTGGATGTATGATAGAAACCAACCCGTTGATATTAATTCCGCGGTTTTATCTCTAAACAACACTGGTGTGCTCAAAATTGAATTTCTATATAGGAAAGAAATAATCATTTACTCTTCCCCTCAACCTATGCACAATACTGTGGCTACTATGCTAGACACAGGTAACTTTGTACTTGAACAACTTCACCCCAATGGAACAAAGAGAGTACTATGGCAGAGTTTTGATTATCCATCGAGCATTTTGATCCCAACGATGAAGTTAGGTGTTAACCGAAAAACTGGACATAATTGGTCATTAGTTTCTTGGTTAACTCATTCGCTACCAACTTTGGGTGAATTTAGTCTTGAATGGGAACCAAAAGAAGGTGAAATGAACATTAAAAAACACGGGAAAGTGTATTGGAAAAGCGGAAAACTTGGAAATAATAGATTGTTCGACAATATTCCAGCAAATGTTCAACAAAATTATCAGTACATTATTATCTCTAACAACCATGAAGATTCTTTCAGTTTCGAAATGAAAGACCGGAATTCTAAGATGTCTTCAAAGTGGTCGCTATCTTCTGAGGGGAGGCTCACGAGTTCGGAAGGAGAGTTAGGAAATGCAGATATTTGTTATGGATATAATAGTGATAGAGGATGCGAAAAATGGGAGGATATACCAACTTGTAGGACGCCTGGTGAGGTGTTTGAGAGAAAGATGGGCAGACCCAACATTGATTATGCTACATTCCAAGACAATGTGAGTTATGTTTACAATGATTGCAAGATGAGTTGTTGGAGAAACTGTGGTTGCAATGGATTCCGCAAATATTACGGTAATGGAACTGGATGTATATTTTTTTCATGGAATTCTACACAAGATGTTGATTGGGATGATGACATTAAATTTTACATATTGAGAAAGCCAGCAAAGACAGTCCCAGATCACCATGGTAAGTCTAAAATCATTTAGATGTTTTGTTACATATCAAGTTTTTGATTTTTGATTTGTTTTATAAGTAGCACCTATAGGCAATGATAAGGCGTGTAAGACAAACCATAGTATAAGGTCAAAATTTTACCTCAATTATTCTGTAATATAGTTCATTACACATTTGATAGGGTTTAAATAAGACTTTTATTAAGAGTAAAAAAAAAGACTTTTATATTTTTTGTTGAAATAACATAGACACATTTGAACATGATAGTGGGTTAAAATAGCAGTATGGAGATTGTATTATACAATGTGATTTATAATTTATTGAATTAATTATATAAGAAATATCTTACAGTATATTCTATTCTATTTTAGATAGGTTAAGGAATATTCTATATAATATTCTATATACAAATATTATTTATTAACACTCTCCTTCAAGATGTATCATATATGAAATATGAACGAGTTTGTTACAAATGTAATTCACTCGAGAATTTCTAAGAGACTTAGTGAACATATCAACAAATTGGTCTTTGGATTTGACAAATTCTGTGATGATTTCTCCTAAAAGTACCATGTCCTTTACAATGACAGTCTAATTCTATGTGTTTTGTCTGCTCATGAAAAACCGGTTTAGATGCAATGTGGAGTGTCATTTTATCGTCACATATGAGTTTTGTTGTTTGAAAATCTCCTAACCTAAACTGTGAGAGTAAATCTTTAAGCCATGCAGGCTCCTTTAAGGTTGTTGCCAAAACACGAAGTTCAACTTCAACACTAAATAATGCAACTGTATTTATTTTCTTACTTCTCCATGAAATCATATTACCTTTAATAAGAACACAATATCCATAAGTGAATCTCCTATCTGACGGTGATCCGGCCTAACCTGCATTTGAATAACCAATGATTTTTGCATTACCCTTACCTTCATATAAAGGTTTTCTTCTTGATGCATTTATTATATATCTAAGATTTCGAAGGACTGCATCCCAATGGCTATCACAAGGATCGTTCAAAAATTGGCTCACAATGCTTATTGCAGATGTAATATACGTTCATGTGTTTGTAAAATAGTTGATTCTACCCACAAGTTGTGGATATCTTCTCATGTCTTTCAATGACTCCTCTTGACCCGAAAGAAGCTTGACATTAGGATCCACAAAAGGTATCAATAGGACAACAATCAATGATACCAATGTCACTAAGGATATCTAATGTATACTTGCGTTGGTTTACTGCAATGCCCGATGAGGATTTGGCAACTTTGATGCCTAAAAAGTATCTGAGTGGACCCATGTCTTTTTTTCGAATTTGTTTAAAAAGATGAGTTTTAAGGTGTTGGATACCCTTTGTATCATCTCCAATGATAATAATGTCATTAACATAGACCACAAGAAACTTGCGTCGACTCGTGGAGGAATGAAGGAAGAAAACATAGTTATCTGCTTCACTTTTAGTCATACAAGGTTGTATCATATTAATCACGCGGGGACTGTTTTATCCCATAAAGAGAATGACGAAGCCGACAAACAAATTTTGAATTTTCAGGAACAGTAAAACCTGGAGGCTGATCCATATAAACTTTATCCTCCAATTCTCTGTGTAACAAGGTATTTTAATGTCCAACTAATGAAGCAGCCAATGATGAATGACAACCATACCAAGAAAGAATCAAACTGAACTAATCTTGGCCACCGGAGAAAAAGTGTCACCATAACCAAGAAAAAATATTTGTGTGTATCATTTGACTACCAAATTGGCTTTGAAACAATCGATATGACCATCTGGTCCAACTTTTATTGTATAAACCTATCAACATTCCATTATTGTTTTGTTTGGAGGTAAAGTAATAATGTCCCAAGTGTTATTTAAATGAAATGTAGCCATTTCTTCCACCATTGCTTGCCGCAAATTGGGATCATTCATGACTTCACCTGAAAAATTAGGAATAAACACAAAATCCAAAGTAGAAACAAAAAAAAACATAGGAAGTTGAGAGATGACCTTAATTAAAAACAAAACCTTATTTAGAATTAGGATGATGAGACTAAATATCTTTTCATAATACTATTGAATGGTCATTTTCAGGTGACAGAACTAAAAGAGTTGTTAGAACAGAAGATGGTGCTGGTGGATCAATATCACCTCTTACCTCTGATGGACGGGGTGTCCATCACTGGTAGTTCTGTAATGGAGGTGTAGGGGTTGCAATGGGTGTGAGAATGATGTAAGGGATATCTTGAACATATGAAGTACAATTTTCATCAGGTGACATAGAGACAAAGAAAAATAGGAAAGTTTCAAAGAATGTGACATCGAAGGAAACAATATATAGTTCAATTTGGTGACGAAAATAAAAATATCCTTTTTGTACAGGTGAGTAGCCTAAAAAAATACATTTGAGAAATTTGACAGAATGTTTGTCTTTACTAGGACTGAGGTCATGAACAAAGCACATGCTTCTAAAGATGCGAGGAGGAAAGGTGCAGAGATTATATTGCGGATTTAAGATATATTATCAAATTTGATCTTAAAGGATCAGTGAAGGAATTTGGTTGATAAGGTGATAAGTTATGAGAAGAGCATCACCCCAAAAACGTGAAGGGACATTGTGGTGAAGTAAAAGAATGTGTGTAGTTTCAACCAAATGGTGATTCTTTCTTTCAGCGACGCCATTTTTTTATGTGGTCTGTAAGCATATGATTATAGATGAATAATTCCTTTTGATGTTAAAAAATATTAAAACTAGGATGACATATATTCACTAGAATTAATAATGCGTAAAATTTTAATGCAAGTGTCAAATTGGTTTTTAACTTCGACATAAAATTCTTGGAATATATGAAAAACATCCACACAATTTTTCTTTAAAAAATATCTAAGTAAATCATGAAAAATCATCGATAAAAGTTATAAAGTAATAATATCCTAAAATTAACTTGACAGGACTAAGACCCCAAATATCATAATGAACTAAAGTAAAAGTTGATGCATCACTTTTATTTACTCATTGGCTATAGGTGTGACGAATATGTTTGCTTAATTGACAAGAGTGACACTCAAATGACGAAAGCTTATAAAAACTAGGAACTAAAAGTCACATTTTAGGGTGATCCAAATATTGATGGGTAAGGCTTTGGGAAGCAATTGAAGCACATACCAGAGGTGGAGTTAGATGATATAATCCTCCAATCTCACTATGTGTTCCAATCGTTCATTCTATACGTCGATCCTAAACATAAAGAAAATTATCAATAAAGAGGACATAAAAATCAAGGGTACATGTGAGTTAGTTAAAGATATTAGATTAAAAGGACAACCATGAATATAGAGCACAAAATATAAAGACATGTTTGGAAGTTGGTGTGCTTGACCAAGACTTTGAACTTTGATTTTAAAACCATCTGCCATAGTGACAGAAAACAAAGAATCAGAATAAGACAAGTGATATAAATAAACTTTTTTATTACCAGTTATATCATCATAAGCACCAAAGTCAAGTATTCTCGGACTAAGGGAGAATGTAGAGACAAAGACTACAGAATTACCAAATTGAGCAACGACACTAGAAAATGATAGTTAATTTGAACTGAGGAACTCATTGTCATTAGTGGCTGAAATAGTAACATTTTTGGCGAACATGATGGAATCAGTGTCTCCCGTGAGAGTTGATGGTTGTGTAGATGGTAAAAAAAACTTAGTGCAAATTAGAAGCACAACAGTAAAAACGACGACATGATTAGACTTAGGACGCGATGTCACGTGTTGCAGGAAGGGCAACACGTGCAGAGGCAATTGGCGACATCTTTTTTCGAGAATGGGTCAGATTTGAAAATTCGCTTTGATTGGTGGTGGTATTTTGCCAGGCGTTCGTCGGAAACAATGGCAGCTGCAGTGGTCACAGTTTGGTGGTTATCAGATAATTGATGCCTGAAAGAGTCACAACAGTGAAAAGAAGGAAAATAGGAGTTAGGACATAATTTTGTTAGAATTTGTTTGAGACAATAAATACTATGTTGAAATAAGAGAGAGTGAGAGAAATATTTAATTAAACCGTGTGTCTGAATAGCACTACGAAGACGGTATTATATCTTGAAATTTACAATTTATTGAATTAATTTTATAAAAAATATTCTACGGTATATCCTATTCTATTATAAATAGAATATGGAAAATTCTATGAAATTATTTACGAATACTGATTATTAATTTATTGTCTAATTAACTCTTATAAATATATACTATACTTATATATAGGTCAATCTAAAGTGAATGGATTACCAAAGCTGTATATAATATCAAGCTCCTTGTTAAAATGTACAAGTTAGGAACTCGTTATGTTTTTAGAAGAAATTTGTCTTAACAATGCTTGAAAACCTGTTAGAAATTGAAAAGGCAGCTATAAATATTAATTTATTGTCTAATTACTCAATGCAGGTAAAAGAAAGTGGATATGGATAGGTGCAACAATAGCAGTTGCTTTACTCATAATATGCGCACTCATTCTATGCATGGCAATAAAGAAACACAAATATGACCTTAAAGGTACTTGAATACTTCAAAACAAAGAAGCTGATTTACATACTTTTTAAATCAAATCCATTTATTCTCTCTCTTTAATTTTTCTTGCTTTAATTTTTCTTGCTATGCAGAGAAGAAAGTTAAAAGAAAGGAGAATGAGATGCAAGAGTTGAACGCTTCCAATGAATTATATAGTATTAAAGATCTTGAAGATGATTTCAAGGGACATGATATAAAAGTTTTTAGCTATGCATCAATTTTAGAAGCAACGGTGGACTTTTCTCCCGAAAACAAGTTAGGACAAGGAGGCTATGGACCCGTTTATAAGGTGACTTAAATCCATTAAAATAAATGACTTTAAAAGTAGTTATGAATAACATCAAATGTTTGAATAATTAAGACAATAAAATATCTTTAAACAGACCGTGTATTGGAGTTAAATACTTAAAATTATTAAACCATCTAAACATGATTATTGAGATTTTTACATCATAGAAATCTAGTAAAAAATACTGGTTTATATTACTAATTTTTCTTTTACAAATCCAGGGAATCTTGGTATCCGGGCAAGCAGTTGCTATAAAAAGACTTTCAAAAACTTCTGGTCAAGGAATTACTGAATTCAAAAATGAATTGGAATTGATATCTGAACTTCAACATACAAATCTGGTACAACTACTTGGTTGTTGTATTCATCAAGAAGAAAGGATTCTAATTTATGAATATATGCCAAACAAAAGCTTGGATTTCTATCTATTTGGTGAGGAATATGTGATGTTTTTAAAGAAAAATGCATCAAACCTATTTTCATTCTTAACTAAATGGTTTAGTGATTGTTCTGAAAGATTGAAAAAACTATCCACATTGGTTTACTACTTATATGGAATGTACTTTCTAACATAAATTGTTATATTTGCACTTGGAAGATTCTACAAAAAGGAAGTTACTCGATTGGAAGAAGCGCTTCAACATTATTGAAGGAATTTCTCAGGCATTACTCTATCTTCATAAATATTCAAGACTAAAAATCATTCATAGAGACTTGAAAGCAAGCAACATACTTCTTGATGAGAATATGAATCCAAAAATTTCTGATTTTGGCATGGCAAGAATGTTCACACAACATGAATCAATAGTAAATACCAACAGAATTGTCGGGACATAGTGAGTTTTCTAAACTTTATTGTTTCTAATGTATCCAAAATACTTTTGATATTGTTGAATAATTTTTGTTGCAGTGGATACATGTCTCCTGAATATGCTATGGAAGGAATTTGTTCTACAAAGTCTGATGTCTATAGCTTTGGAGTGTTGCTACTTGAAATTGTTTCCGGAAGAAAAAACAATAGTTTCTATGATGTTGATCGCCCATTAAACCTAATAGGACATGTATGTAAAACTAATCTCATTGAGATTATTATTTTTTTTCAAATATTATCTAATTTCATTAAATTACTATACTAGGCATGGGAGCTATGGAATGATGGTGAGTATTTGCATTTAATGGATCCATCATTAAGTGAGTCATTTGTTCCTGATGAAGTGAAAAGGTGCATTCATGTTGGTCTCTTATGTGTACAACAATATGCAAATGATCGACCTACAATGTCTGATGTCATATCAATGTTGACAAACAACTATGAACCTGTTACTTTACCAACAAGACCAGCATTCTATGTTAGAAGTGAGACCTTTGAGGAGGAGACAAATTCTAAAGTTTTGGACACTGACACCTATTCTACAACTGCAATTTCCTCTTCGGATGTAGAAAGGCAATAGATAAGTTTATATACTATAATTAAGATTGTTGATTACGATGAAGACTACATAACTTTCTTTTCATAAAACTTTGACTACTCCAATTTCATGTAATTAGCATCTATTATATATTTGGTGTCTCTTTTCCTTTTACATTTTATATAATTTCCATATACTATATGTTTGTTGTCTCTTTTCCCTTTAAATTTTATACGTAGAAATTACAAACTTTGGCATGTGGGAAGTAATTTCCAATGAAGTGATCATTGGTGAATTTGCTTTAATGTAATTTTTCTTTGGAGGTTTTGTAGAAAAGAAAATTTGTAAAACTTTTCTTTTAGAGTTTATCAAATGTCACAGTGGTATTATTTCATCTTAATCAGGATTGACTCAGTGAATGGCCAAGCATACCTTTAGCATATGGCCTCTAAATCTAGAGGGAATAATTTTCATATAAAAAACTAAATATATATTTAAAACTATAAAAATTAGTAAAACGATGGTTAAATATTAAAAAACATTCACTAACCAAGTGGAATGAAAGCCATGATTAAATGGTGTTGCCTTGTTCGGCTCCTGTCGTTATATTTTTTATTTATTTTAATTTCTGTTATTATTTAAAGATGGAGATAAAATATAAATAAATATTAATTGTATTAAACAATTCTCGGTGGTGTTTTTTTGTTTTTAATTTTAATTATTATTTAAAGATGGTGAGAAAACACTGTTTTCTTTTATTGTTGAACGACATATGCTTGGTCCTTCGTCCTTCCCCTAACTGCCCTATTGCGAGACAAGCATCCATGTTCTAGATCAAATGCCCATTTATCGGGTCGCTCGAAGGTTAAGTTTCTCAATCCATAATGTGAAATCACATGTAAATAGGTTACCGAGTCAATAAACATTACTTAGGCTTACCGAGTCAATAAACATTACTTAGGATGTCGTGGAACTCAATTATACCATCTAGATTTCAGAGAATTAACCCCTATTTTTCTTGATAATTGTTTCATTCTAGAAAAACTCAGTTCAAACTCCTGAGCTATAAATACATTAGTCTTGAAGAACAACCTAACAAGTAACAACAAAACAGAAATGTGGAGATACAGTAACATCTTACTGTTGCAATTGCGAAAAATAATTGACGGAAAAACAAAAAAGTCGTCACCGAACGTTATTTATCTCGATGGGAGAAAAGAAACGATCAAAGAAAATCTCAAAAAAGAAGAAGACATGGTCTCGCAAACAAATCCTGAACTCGGGAGTTGATTACGCGAGAAGAAGGTATTAACAACCCCTCGCGTCCGTTGTACTCAACGGAATCCACGCTTATTGTTCTAATCAAATGATGTGTTTATCTAAAGTCTACAGCTAAACGGAAACGAGAACGAAATGGAAAAAAGAAAAGGAGACTCAATAGGATTTCACCGTGTCCTAGACATACGTATTCCCTCGTACAATGAGAAATTCAGAGTAAACGTAGTTCGGAAGACTATGGGTGAAAGGGAAGATTGTTCGCCAAGACTTCGACGTCTTATGCCTATGTATCCTCATCTGGTATGAGCAATCAAAGTAGCCTTAGTTTGGCTCGCGAATTGTTAACTGTTTTTTTATGAGTGATGCTAAGTTTACGTTCCAACCGTTAGGATCGATGCTTGTTTGCGGTAGAACGGAAGTAACATACCCTTTTTGAAAAAAAAGGTTTGACAAAGATCCCGAAAGGTAAAATGGTTTGCAGTTTGTTTGTGAGTTTTAACAAAAGTGGTTTAACTTTGTTTGAAATGTGCATCGCACTAAGGTTTATGACATAAGATCGAATACTTTGCGCTAACGATCCAAAGCGTCTCGCGCACAAAGTACCCTAAGATGAGGTTAGAAATTCATCCGCTCATCATTTCCTATGTGTTTAAGACTCGTGGCGCACAATGCAAATCATATTTATTATATGTTTTGATTTTTGTTTTGAGAAGAGAAGAGAAAGACGCATGGAAGGTCTAACGAAAAAGCTTGATCCTAACTTTGTCATGCAAAATAGTTTCAAGGTCAGGATGCGAGAGGATAATATATCCTAATGTTAGCATGCAAAGTGGACCTAAGATTGAGGTTAAAAAGGGATTAAACTAATGTTATCATGCATGGATTAACTCCTAATGTTTATCCTACTCCAAGCTTAATCGAAAATTAAATTGGATTAGGAGGACTTAATGGATCATGCAAGAACAAACCAAAATAAAGAAAACAAATAAAAAACAGCAACTATAACAGCGCTTCTGCTCAGAACAACAGAAAAATGCAGCAAGACAGAACATGTACATTTAACGACATGTATGCAACACAACAGTAGTGTATACAACATGCAATGCATCAAGACAAATGCATATTAATAGACATCCATCATGGACAATCATATAATAACTCAACATCAAGTATGCATCCAAGATTGATCAATCAACAATGAACATGTCCTCCATTCAAGCATAATCATGCATCACAAGAAATAAACAAGAACATCCTTTCACATATAAACAAATGCATATGGATTGCAAACATGAACGAACATCAAGCAAGAGAAGTTAATACATATGTGTAGACAATTAAGCACAAACAATTTTCAACAACAATGCACAACTAAACATTCCACATGATTAACATGAGTATTCATCAACAATTAATCGCTTAAATAAAACATGCATTCACGAAATCAAAAGGAAAATTGAACGTGTATCATACATCTATCACATTAGTCATCAAGATCAAGCAAATAAGCATGAGTAAGCAAGCAATCATGAAGAATGTGTCAAGAATACAAAACAATAGGTCATGAACATGTATCACAAAAATCAACAAGTCGCACGTCGAAGAATCACAAACATCCTTTCAAATAGGGTGAAATAGCTCAAAAACAGTTCACAAATATGCATAATATCAATCCATGAAGTTTAAAAGTGGAAAGTAATCAAAACAAGCTTGAAAATGCACAAAAATCACATTCTGCATTAGTGTTAATCGATTACCCATTTGCAAGGCACAAGTGGTTAATCGATTAACCTCTTTGAAAAAGCCAAAATAACCTAAAAAGTAAACTTGTAATCGATTAACCAGTTTTGCCTTGCAACTGATTAATCGATTAACACTAATGCAGAGTCAGAAAACCACCAATTCAAAAGCACTTTCAGCAGCAAATCACTTATACAATCATCTGCATACTTAGACAATCAATTGTAGACAAAAATCACATCAAATAACAATAATCAAACAACAATTTAATCCATCAAACATCAAGATCAAAAATCAAAGCAATCAATGAACCTCTTTAAAAAACACATTTGATTCACCTAATCGGTAGATAATTATACCAAAATATGAAAGGATCGCAAGCTCAACCATTGAATAACTTAATGAGAATTAAAGCATATACTGTACTTTGCCTTAAAAGAGAGCCAAAAGTATACATTTCATCACCAAGCAGAAGCAAGCCCTCCCAAATAGAACTACAAACAAGATTACCAAAGTTCTTGATTAACTCCAATAGAGCAAGTTCCCAAACCTTCACATTCACAGTTATAGATCGCACCTACAGTTGGTGGAAAAAATTTAATGATCATTAGAAAATGCTAACAGGTCAGAACTCAATTCAACTATTGGTTTAGTAAGAAATCACATAATATAAGAAAAATGATTTAGTTCAACTAAAAAAAACTGTAGATTACTTCTCAAAAGTTAAAACTAATAAGATTCTTAAAGGGAAAGCTTTTTACCCATAAAAGAAAGAGTTAAATTCTGCAACCAATTCAATCTTAGTATTTACCATAGATAAATATCCCTAAAACTATGTAGAATTTTAAAATCTTAGCACATAATGTGTCAATGTTAAACTTTGAAATTTTTGACTCAGTTAAATAAATTTCAATCCACCAATAAATACCATCCATATAAACAATATAAATTAAAATCACTTCATCAATAAAAAGCCACAACAAGTATATATTATTACATTCAGTCAAAACCTAATCTATACAATATATATACTATACCACAATATTTCAATGTATGATTCAAATAAAATTTTAAATTAGTTTAATGTTCACGTACCTAATTTTGTGTTCGAGTACAAAAATGATTCATACATCAAAGTTTATAATAAAACACTTTTGTGCTTCTCAAGAATTTCAAGCTAGTAGCATCACCTATAGTTTGTGCTTAATTATTGTTTGTAGTTGTTTAGATGATAGTTGGTAGAAGATAGTTTTAGAGAGTAGTTTAGAAAGAAGGTTTTATGATTAATTTCTTGGATGATAGTTTACAATGTAGCAAATGCCTATTTATAGGCTCAAATCACCAACCTTTCAATGGTGGTGAATATTCTAGAGTTCTCATGATAGGTTATTATCATGACAAATCTAGATTTTTCTATCTTTACCATATACATATATATCTAGATTATTCTACCATATTCATACACCTTATAGTTTCTAGGATGTTCTATATTTTCTTACATATTATATTTAAGAACTCTCTAGAAATTTGTAGCAACTTTAGCACTCCTCCTTGATACAAATTTCTTTGACTCCAAGCATAGCTCGTAGCTCTTCAAATCTTGGTCTCGGCAACGCCTTCGTGAATATGTCTGCAATTTGATCTTCTGTTCTGCAGTAGTCGAGTTTGATCTCTTTAGTTGCTTCAGCTTCTCTTATAAAGTGATACTTGATTGCTATATGTTTTGTTCTACTGTGATGCACTTGATTCTTTTCCATTGCAATTGCTGATTTGTTGTCGCAATTGATTTTAGTTGGCTGATCTTGTTTTTCTCCCATAGTATCCTACGAAGCCATATAGCCTGACTCGTTGCTTCAGCAGCTGCCACGTACTCTGCTTCTGCTGTGGATTGTGCAACCATAGCTTGCTTCTTCGACGCCCAAGAGAAAATTCCTGATCCGAGTGAGAAAGCATAGCCAGAAGTGCTCTTCATGTTATCTACCGAACCTGCCCAATCACTATCGGTGTAGCCAAGTAATCCTGAG